ACGTATTTGGAGGTCTTGCTATGTAATGATTTATTATATTTTAGATTAATACTAACGTACTGAATCATTCGTACTAGAAAATTTGTGCTAAATATTGGTTTTTGTTCGGGAAATCTCCTAATTCGATTATGCTAGACATAAAGATCGATGTGTTGTCCTATGTAAACAAGTGTTTTGATAGTAATATAAAATTGCTGTAAATAAAACAATTTTTACATAGAAAATATATTTGTTTGATTTAAAATAATTTTATATTTCCATACATTTATAGCATTATAAGATGTATATCCGTTTTGTAGAACACTGAATTATCCGCTGGTACACGAAATTATTGGAAAATCGTGCATTGACCACACTGCTAACATAATAAACAGACTCACTGTTAACACAGGAGGAAGGCGGACATTTTCATAGCCCTCTTGCATGTAAAAATTCCAGTATCTGAGTCCTATGAGATCGAGCGACGTCGCTCGATCTGAAAAATAGCAACATCAGTTGAAGGAAAAAATATATCAGATTGTTACTGGAAAAAGTAAAACATTGGAACCGTATGGAAGTTACAAATACACGTGGAATATAATATTATTTTTATTAAAAACCATATTGGCAGATAACAATACATTTTCATTTTATATTTATATAAATTGATTTCTCTTTGTACTGGGGGCTGTTACAGACAAGCCGTCACTGCTCTAGTCAAGCTGTGTCCCAACCGTTTCGTGTGCTTCTGCTGTGTAAATCATTTTACTAGAAATAGGTACATACTGGTTAAACATCTTTCCTGTCATAGTATAATAATTGGTAGGGTATTTCGCTTTTGAATGCAACACACAACTTATCGTAAACTGCCAAATCCAGAAATACATTTGCTATTCAGCATTTCGCATGTTTCGGTATGTATATAGCGTGATCTACATCCTGATATCATGTATTTTGTTGTCAAATCATAAAAAAATTTCGGAATAGAGTTTATATTCAGTCTATAAAAAACATTAGATGCCTTTAGATTGGCGGTAACAATCATCTCACTGATAAATGAGTCATAGCTAGAGATAAGATAGATAGCTATTCATTATTAAAATATAATATGCTGTTAACATCAATGCGACAATCAATACGCTACAGTTGTAGGTCTGGAGTGAAGTGACGTGTGGTGAGAGGGGATAAACAGAAGGATTTTACGACGATACAATTTTTTTTTATCAGTGAATTATGTGTAAAGCGAGTGTGCGCTTATAATAAACAACGTAGAAAATGTAAGCCGGCGCAAGCCCTGTTGCCACATCTAGTACCAAAGACTTGATATTCGACTTAACATTGACTAGGTTTTGGAATTTATTGAAAATTATTACATCTAATTTAGTGAAATTGCATCTAATTTAGTGAAATTGCATCTAATTTAGTGAACTTGTATCTAATTGAGTGCATAGAGTATAGACTATAATACATTCGGTACCATATTTTTTACTGAGACCCTTCCCATGGGGCCTCAGTATTGCATTCGTGCAGACGAAAAAATTTTCTTACCTCCATTTTTTTAAACTTTTTTTCACGTTTCCGATCATTCAGAGTCCGAAAATGCAAAAAAAATTTCGTCTGGTCGTCTGTATGTATGTATGTATGCCGGCACGATAACTCGAAAACGAAAGTTCTGATTGACTTGCGGTTTTGATTTTCTTAAATAATTGCTTCTAACTTAGAACCCTATTGATTTTCAGAATTTTTGGTTCATCCTAACTAATTTAATATCAATGTTCTTAAATCCGCCTGTGTAATCCATATGCGACTAATTTATACATTCCGAGCATTCCACGTCTAAATTCCTAAGATTCCTAAAATTCCATACATTGCAAAATTATGCACTCCAGCGACTTGTCAAATAACTGTTGATTGTAAAGGTGAGATTCCTAAGGGCGGTTGCGACTTTCATAGTTGCAATCATAGGCTATTTTTATTCGAAATAGTAATCGTCAAGCCTGCCAATTTATGAAAAATATACAAGCAGTTATACAAGCAGTTTCTTAAAAATGATTTTTTTATGGTGTTGCTAACTTAAGCTTACTACTATTTCGCTCCTAGCCACAGTGACACTGGCTCTCTGTCGCAACCCCATAGAATAATTAAACAATTATTTTATTTTGCATGGCTGTACCTGTCAATGTCAAATATCAAGTATCAAGTTGTCAACTGAACTGTGATGTGTGAATTGTTCTTAAATGTCAAATTATTTAAAAATGTTTCTATCCTTCTTTTGATATTTATTTTTTACAATTTTTAACATATGTAATGTGTATGTAATTTAAAAATAATTACACAAGTCAATAATATAATTTTTTCTGGTTAATCGAATCGGTACGCATTTGATTGTTTTAAGATTGAGCGAGTGACGGTTTTACTGTGATTTTCATATTTTATGAACCTTTTGAGATGTCTGCTAACTGAATTTGAAAACGTGATTTTCAAAAATGATACATTCGAAGTAACCTTAAAACTATGGATGACACTAGCAAACAAATAAATATTCAGTGGATTTTAGGACTTCTAAACCAACAAGATTTAAAGATTCATTTATTAAGGTAAATAATAGGATAGAACTTTAAATATACCTAATATTTAATATTAAAATCAAATTTTACATACTCGTCTTGTTTTTGGTACAAGTAATTAATTAATTATTTATCAGTATGAAATTTTGTAATTTGGTATTATTTTAGAAAGGATTGCAATTTATAATTACGATACATACTAAACATAATCATACTCTTGAAACAGCTGAGACACTTCGATTTCTTCAAGCCAAGCCATATGTAAATGATTTGTTTATGAATATTTAAATGATAGTATGATCTTCAGTATGACAATAACAGAAGCAAAGAAAGTTTATGAATTTGATGAGCATATGGTATTGATTTTAGCCAGTGGAAGTAAAAATCCTACTTACAGAACGGTGCAAAATTGGTATCATTCATGGAGAAATTTAAACTTGGGATCAAGGTCAGGAGAAGGGTTAATCAAGGTAAGTGTTTCATCTTTTTCATTAAAACAGAATGTTCTTTCTCCTGACGTTTGATGTGCTCTATTTTGTATGTTTTCGGTTCAGTTTGTTTGATTTTGGGAATGAAATCTGTTGTTTGCCAGTTTGTTTGAATAATTTCATAATCTTTAAGGCCGTTGTATGTTCCAATTTTCGAGTAGACAATAACGTTAGGATTTTTTATTTTGTGACTTGGTTTCGTGATTTTTTCGGTGTACGAAAGATCATCAATGACGCAAAAGCCTTCCTTAGTTGGTACGTGACAAATAAAATGTCCAATTGTACCTATTAATGGAGGTACAAATTCTGTTAAAAACTTAAAGTAATATGAAGTTTCATTTGTTATCAGTTCTTTGGGTATTATCAGTTCTTTGGGTATTTCTTGTAATGTTAGATTAGTAAAATATTGCTGAAGTCCAGTTCGGTAAACGCGAATAAAAAGTAAGTCTCCTGGAGTATTTACGATATTAAGATTTCTTGTATTACAAGTACAGCACATTTTGTTAATAGATGGTTAAAAAATTTTGGCAACTTCGGTATGAAGTGTCTGGAGATTATTTGTTGATACTGTAGCACATAATGAAATCCTTAATATTATTTGAGCAATTTGTACATATTTTGGTTCGTGTGTGTGAAACTATCTCTGGCAAAATTGTTTCAATCATGTCAATAATATTCCATGCCATATTTATTTCTTCAAATTTGTGTGGAACAGTTTTATAGAGATATTAAGAGGCCCCGACACCAATTTTATTCATAATTGAAAAAGTTTTTGGACGGCAACTTCTTTATTTTTAAACTTAGAAGGATGCGGTTTTCACCGATTTATTCTAGATCTAATTCTTAAGAGAGGACTAGTAGCAGATTTTTATATTTTTTTTTTAATTTTGCAAATAGGATGTATTTTTTTTAATGAAAACAAAATTTAAAAAACTAAAACTAGTCCTCTCTTCTTATAAAAACTACAAATACAATGAAAAAAACCGCATATTTTTATTTACAAAATTAAACTTTCCACTGTCCAAAAACTATTTTCGTCCGTAATATGGCGCCCCGCTAATTTCGTTGCGGAATATATCCGTACTATCTTTAGAAAGCGAGAATACCTGAGATACACGGAAAAAACAGTTTTTATATTAAAAGGATAAAATTGAAGTTTTTAAATATATGCGGATGTATTTTTTCCGTTTAATTAATTAAAAAATTATTATTTATGTGTTGTTACACCTGGTACTTTCCCTCAAAGCGCGTGGATCAATGGAGTTTATTTATTTTTTATTTTCCTACCTCTAAAGCTAATACCTTTTATCAAACACCAATATAATTTGCGATAATGAAAGCAGTACAATATAGAAAAAATGAAGAATGTATAGATCATAATAAAAAATCTTCTAATCTAGTATGTGACATTTTAAATGTAGTGCACCATGTATTTGGACAGTATGATGGCTGCGCAAAATTGAAGTATTTTTGCACTAAGAAAACTCCAGATGAAGAAAATATAAGTGCAGTCCTTTATTTGATAAATTATTGGATATTGTTAGATTTCTGGCAACCCATAGCAGTAGTCTTATGTACGATACAGGCAGTAATGTTGCTGAACAATTCAACAGCATTATTTGTAAATTTATAGGAGGTAAAAGAATAAATTATTCTTTGAGAAGACACTACAAAGGTAGATGTTTTGCTGCATTTCTTAGGTATAATACCAAAAAATCTACTTAAGTATAAAAATAAGGCAAGCCCTTCATTGAAAAGACAAAGAGCATTTGAAAAAATTAAAAGAAATAAGATAAAAAAAAAATAAAAAAAAGATTAAATTTTGAGGACAAAAATTACGGCCCAAAGTGTGAAAAACCAGATATGTCCTCAGCAGATTTTGACGAAGCTAAAGCATGTTTTCTATCTTCGCTTCGGAAATCGAATCCATTGAAGCAAGAACCAAAGAGCAGGCCAACAATTTTGAATGGGTCGAAATGCGAAAACACCTTTTGGAGAGGTTCGTAAGAGAAAACCAACGACTCGTTGTGCAAATTTGGTTCATAAGCTCCTTACACAACCATTTATCAGGAGCAATGCAGTAGAATGGGGTAAAGTCAATGAGTCTACTGTAAAAAATATTTTGATAAAACAGCATAAATTGAATATCGAGTCAAGTGGATTATTTATTAGCGGTGAATACCCCTGAATACCACATGAAATTAGGCAGAAAAAAATTTCAATATTAAAAATAAACAAAAAAAATGAAGTATCAATAAATACAGGACAAAACTGGTATTATCAGATTCAATGTCAATTAAATGTAGCAGAAAAGAATATTGTATTCTTTTTTCTGGACTAAAAATGACATTAAGCTGGAAACAATTACTAGAGACAACGATTTTTTGGTAAACACTATGTTGCCTCACCTTAAAAATTTTTATTTTTCACTGCCTTCTTCCCGAAATTGTGGATTCAAGATTAGCCAGAGGTATATCAATTAGGGAACCCAAATATATCCTTAAAGCAATAGATAACAAAGAAAAGAAGATTTAGAGTTTGAGTTGAACAAATTACGAATTATTTAATACAATAAAAATATTTTATGAAAATTGTTTGAGTTCTACTCGTCAAAAAAATACCAGTATTGCCTTTTAATTTAAAATATAATATAGTACACTTATCTAAATTAGTCACGTAACCGTCCCTGCCTAAGAAAGTAATGTAAATAATATAAATCTTATCTTTAATTCGAAATTTACAATTTTATATTTTTTATACACAAAAATATTTGTTTGCAAAAAATTTGTTATCTAAAATCAAAAAAATGATAATTACCTACTAGTCAACTCAAATAAAACAAAGTTTAAGAACGAAACATAAAAACTTTAAAGAATTACTTAATTTTTCTATAATAATAAATCATTTATTTTATTTAAATTCTCACACTAATAACGCAGTTATTTATTCTGTACTCGGAAATAAATGAAATTTTTCAAATAATATAGATGATCCTGGTAATCTACAACAATTAATTTGTATAAAATAACAGTGCAGCAGCAGCCAAGGAATATTATGTTAGCGTATCACTAACAACTTTTCCAGTGTATCCTTTCTCACAGGCGATTTCTTCGAGGAAGGGAGACGGATGCTAGACAAGAGGTAACCAGCAAAACCGGCATTTGAATTGTACACGTGGTGTCGGGGCGTCTTAAATCCAAATTTGATTTTTCTCGTTAATGTCATTGTTGTTCATGATATCAATCAATACTTTAAAATACTGTAAATTTAGTCCCTCAAAGTAGATGTGCATGGCTCTGTCAATTTTGTTTAGGGAAATAATGCCATGAGCAAATGAGTTGTAAGTACAAAAGAAGTTCTTAGTAATTATATTATTATTGGATATATTGCTTGAACAAGTTTTTAAACCCTAATCAAAAGGCGATATAGAATGATTTTAAAAATCAAGGCTTGTGAAAATCATCACATGGTTTAACCTAAGTAATGCCAATGCTTCACAAACCAAAAAATTCAAGGTGCTAATACTACTATCGACTTTCGGTATTTCGTTCCAAGTTAAATTATTTCTCGTTTTTGTTACGCTACGAGTTTACCCTTGTGGGCCTCAGTCTCCATAAGGTGGGAACCACCATTTTAGCGTCATGTCTTCAAGTGTTTATTTTTATTTTACCTCTGTTTTTTGTGTTTTTGGTCTTCGCTATATTTTGCTGATTGTTTTTTTTTTAATAAAATTTATGTCAATTTCTTATACATGATTCTTTGGATAATATTATTGAGTTTCTTTCACCGATTCTGGTATCTGGTACTCAGAGTATTTTTTTATAAGAAGCATTAACTTCATATAAAATTAACTACTCTAATAGACAAGAACAAATGTATGTATTAAAAATAAAATTGAGGAAGGAGACTTTTTTATTGTTCAAATTTATAGTACAATTAATAAAACTCATATTAATACTCATCGAGCGAGCGAAGTGCGAAGTTCTAAATTTCGACCGGAGGCGGCTCTTTAATTTTTTTTTTTTTATGAATTTACCGTTAAAAAATTATCTTCATATAAAATTGATTGACTGAATTATTAATAAGTAACATGGGAAAGCATTGATATAAAACAAATTTCTTTCAATATAATCATCTGTTAGTCATTGTTATCATCATCATTATCATCATCATCATCATCATGATCATCATTATTATACTCGTTACATTCTCTTTCTGAGCGGTTAGATATTGATAAGCTTGTTGATATTCCAATTCATATCTCATTTTAAAATATATCAGAAGCATATATATTTTGTTTAGAAACTATTACACAATTGGCAACAATGTAGAAGTTGAATATTGACTAGTTTATAAAAAACATATGTACCAAGTCTAATACAATTTAGAAATTCTAAATAAATAAAGGTAAAATACGATATATAACAGACAATTATTATAGACAAACAGAATAATAAATATTTCAGAATTCAATTAAAGCGCTGGTCACTTTAGTAAAGTTAAATATTCATTAATACAAAAACATTACGTTAAAAGCTTAGAACTTTTCATTTTTCAAGATTTGTTGAATTTTATTATACAGGGTAAACCTAAGTTAATAATATTTTTACTGTGTATAGAAGCTATTAAATTAAATAACTTAAAAAAAAAAAACAAAAATAGCACAAACTTACATTATTACTTTTCGATGATGAATATTCACTTGTGTATTTGCTGCAGCTTTGTTGCTATTGTTGAGTTTAGACTCGCAGTGTGACATCGCACGTTTGTCAGGTATCTATTTTTGGTCTATGGAAACTAAGTTTTTTTTAAAAAATACCTCTGTAGTATTTATAAGTCATTATGGTGTTGGATACTTAATCTTGAATGCTTTAAAGATCGGATGAATCTTCAAATCTGGATTTAAATATCTTTTGAAATTGAATAAACTCGTGTTTGGCGAATTAGATTGCCTTGTGGTTAGTACGTCTGTAATTTCGCCTGACATTTCTTTTGCTTTCAGCCATTTCCATGCTAGTTCCATGCCGGCGTTTTTTAATTGGAACATCTATCAATCTCATAAAATCTATTGAAAAAAATATATTAAAATGCTTCCAGTACGGTCCTGTAAATAATGTGTTGAAAGTTTTAATTGAAACACAAGGTAAACCGTTCACTGTTTATTCTGTACAATACCAATTAAGCACTTTGATACATTTTTAAGAAAATCGCTTTAAATAGACAACAAACTTGTTTTTATATAAAAATTCTACTAAACAGTGAACACCCTAGTAAATTACAATGACTGGTATTTGTATGATTTACTATAAAAACTTGATTTTTAATAAACAAATCCAAGCCCTGATTTAGATTTTTTTATTCTCTATCCTTACTTCACAAATGGCGTTCCATTTGTGATGCGGTCCGGGTAATTCAGAAGACAGGATTCAAAATAAAAGTATTTATTCTCTCTTTAAGTAACAATATAAAATATATTTAAAATAAATTAGTTTTCTTCACGGCCCTCGGACCAATAGCCACGACCTTTCGTCGAGTGTCGAACAGCTGGGGCCCAATTCTCGAAACATGCGTTAACTGCCGCATGCGCCAAGTAACGTATGGTCGTTAACGCATACGACAGCAATTTAGTATTCTTGAACACCATGCGATAATCGCGAATCAAGTCGAACGTGTTAACGAAGAGTCTTTGATTATTACATAGTCTTAACCAATGAGGATTGAGAATACCAAAGATGAATACTGAATATGAGATAATTGCATTGACATATGTCAAAATTGCCAAAAATGCAAAAATAAAATTAAATGGATTGTAAATGTCTAATAATTTTTGGTTTTTAAATGTTTTGTATTTTGGACTTGATAATTTTAGTGGTTTAGATTTAGAATATTAAAAATGGAACAGCGTGGTTCAAGAATAACGGAAAAACAGAGTGAAACTTTAGTAGAATTTATAACATTGTTTAGTGCCTGTATAACTCCCATTTCTTCTATATCATCCATACTAAATAAAACGTACCAAAATAAACTGGCACTTAAGCGTCAAATAAAAGAGTTCACGGTACAAAAAGTTTAACTTTTATATTCTAATAACTAATAAAATGTTCAAAAAGTCAATTTAAAAATAAATATTTCCCAATAAATCACAAAACAAAACCAATAGATAGAAACACGAATCACATAATATGATAAAGCAGGATTAATTGAGAATTATAACCTTACTTTCACCTAAACGAATGCGACAAAGTGGTTGTCGAACGGTCATGAGCGCTAGATGAAAAAGTAGAACTACTTGTGTCCAACATACAACAAGCAGCCACCTATTATGCAGCGAACAACAGGAAATAACTATCCTAAAGAAATAAGGGACCTAATCTCTGCAAAAAGAAAACTAAGAAGGGCATGGCATCAGACCAGATCTCCATCAGATAAAACCAAACTTAACAACGCCACCCAGCAGTTAAAAAGACAGATAAAACAAATCAAAAATGAATCTATTTGTGAGTACCTTAGTGAGTTGACAAACGATAAATCCACTGATTATTCTCTATGGAAAGCCACAAAGCGATTAAAAAGACCCACTGTGCAGAATGCTTCAATCAGGAATACAGATGGTAGCTGGGCTAGAAATATTATACAAAAAGTTAATAGATTCGAAAAGCACTTAGAAAACAAACCAAATAAAGGAGAAGAATTACCGAACTGAGCTCCTCTAGTGAGAGATGACTCAATTATCAGACCCACCTCTCCAAAGGAAATTGCAGAAGATATAAAAACAAATATTAATCCTAAGAAAGCTTCTGGCTATAATTTTGTAATGAAGTCAATTTTCCTCAATCAATTTATTTTCATTTTTCATTTTTAATAAATATTTAACGCGATATGAACTGTCGATCCTCAGTTAATTTACCAGCGCGAACGCCGATCGAGAATCGTGCGCGCTAGGTCTGTGTCTAAGTGGGATTTCTGGGATGCTATTAAAATTTAAAATTATCAGTTCGATATAATTTTTGGTTGCTAGCAGTTGACTCTAATAAGCCGCATTAGATACTAAATCACCTTTGATATTTTTTCCCTTTTCCGAGTATTTACAAATCCATTAGGTAAAAAACCTTGTTCCGCTTTTTACGTTGGATATTGACTCCGTATATCATTTTAAAAACCGAATTAGTTTGTAGGAATAGGAATATT